GTGTGTGTGTGTGTGTGGTGTATTATGTTGTGTGTGTTTGCCTCTGTGGGTGTGTGTTTGCTATACACAACTGCACCGAAAAGAGCATGAATGTCACAGACTGTTTTGCCAGACTTTCATCGACTGTGTGTGTGGGTGTGGGTGCGTGATAGTTTGTGTGTGTGAGTTGATCTCTTCTCTTCTCTGCTCTGCTCTGCTCCATTTCGAACTTGGGATTTCCTCTAATGCTGTCTAGACTATTTTTCTGTAGGAGAGTGTGAATGTTTTCTGAAGAAAGGAGATCCAGTGAGAACTCCTGTGAATCTTCGTGCCCAGGAATGTCTATTCTATTCTACCTTTCTGCAGGTGAATGCGAGTGCCACTTCTTTGAAGTCAATGATAGATTCATCTGGCGAATTGTGGTAGGGGAGGGGAGGTGATTCTCAAAGGGGATGCGCGATTTCCTTCCGACACTTTTTATTTTTATTTTTATTTTTGGCATGCAAATGTGTTTGTCCTTTTTCCACAATGTTGGAAAAGTACTAATGAGTAGCGAGTCCGGATGTAGAGGTAAAAAGTTGCCTGGGCAGGGAAATAATATGTCCTATAGGAAGGATTTGTCTGCAACTTTTCCCATAGCCTAAGGCTGAAGGCTTGTACTTTTTTTTTCTGTTTTCCTATTCTATCTTGCTCATCTGACGGGATCTGGATTCGAACATGAGTCTGTATTTCAACAGTTCATGGGTCCACTTGTTTCTTACCATCCACCCTTTTTTTTCTGTCCGCGTCCTGCGACTTGTCTGTCTCTGTGTATGAGAAGTGAACTTCCGTGCGTGGATCTTGGAGACGAAGCAAAAAGTTCTGGACACTCGCGAGGACCGGGAGTCTTATGAGCTCTCATTTGGTCATGGTGAGCTTCTTTCTCTCTCTTATTCGACATCTCCCAGGAGTTTGGAGACCCTCCTTCAAAAAATGCATGAACGAGTCTCCTCCTTTCGAATGCATTAATGAATGATTGGCATTTGGATGCACAAGGGTTCGTTCTGACTCGTGTGCTTCCTTCTGCTTTTTCTCTGCTCTCGTTTTTGTTGCTGTATGCAACAGACATCTCCTTTCTTCTTCTTCTTCTTCTTCTTCTTCTTCTTCTTCTTCTTCTTTTTCTTCTTTTTCTTCATCTCGCCACACCACTGTCAAAATGAAAAAAGTTTGAGTGCATCTTCCTGTGTGGACCTGCAGAGAATGGTTAAAGATGCATCGGTTACTATGAATAGCAACTAATGCATCTTACCGCTTTTCTGGGAAAGATGCGTTCGATCTTTTTTCACTTCGACAGTGGTGTGGCGAGACCCTCAGGGTTACTAAACGTTTCAGGAAGATTCAGTCACACTGAGAAATCCAGCAGGGTCTGGTTGCGGTACGATTGACATTTGGGTTTGTCCTTCAGTTTAGGGTTTACTGAGTTTACTTTATTCAACCCCCAAAGTATGGCTGGAACCCATTTTACGGTATTATTAATTTATTACCCATGTGTCAATTGTAGCGTGGCCAGACCCTGGTCCTTGGGTAAGTAATTGCCTTCCATGATCGAAGAAAAGGGGGTTGGTTAAAGGGAAAGAAGTTCAAAGAACAAAAAAAAACAGAGGAGTGCCTCTCTCCTTTGGCAGGTGCACTAGCCTAAAGAAGTGATTTCATACTTGCGGCGCACCGGTGCGGTGCGCCGTGCGGGATGTGCTCACCCACACCGCATGCGCATGTGCGCGGGTGTGCGCACCGGTTGCGCTGCGCGGGATGCGCGTCAAAATGAGCCGCCGGGCAGGGGTGTGCGCTGTGCCGTTTTCCTTTTCTTTTTTTGTTTTCGGTGTGTGTGTGTGTGTGTGTGTGTGTGTGTGAGAGAGAGAGAGAGAGAGAGAGAGAGAGAGAGAGAGAGAGAGAGAGAGAGAGAGAGAGAGANGAGAGAGAGAGAGAGAGAGAGAGAGAGAGAGAGAGAGAGAGAGAGAGAGAGAGAGATCCGTTCGACCTCAGGACACGTCCACGACGGATGGTTTTGGCGGCGCGTGCTGATGTAGAAGGTATGCCATCCAAGACTTGGACGAATCTTGACCGCAATCACGTCCAGAGCTTAGTAGAAAAAGTCCGAGTGTGAGTATGCCGTACAAACAGACCTTTTCTACTAAGCTCTGGCTGTGATTGCGGTCAGATTCATCCAAGTCTGGCCGTAAGTGCCATCAGATACATTTCTGGAATTGCTATTGTCAGGCCTCAGGTAAGCACATAACGTATCTCTGGAACTTTTCTTTTTTTTTTTTTTTTGGAGAAAAAATCTCTGGACAAATGAGATTGAATCCTCCGCTTGAACATGGAAAGATACATTGCCATATCTGTCTTGTGTGCATGTCGGGAGTAGTGCAGCGAGGCCGTTGGTGAATAGTCCCGTTGAGGTTCTGACAGGTTGGACGCTCGGGGCTTCGCTCCACCACTCACCACATGATCAAAAGAGAAAACCGAGGGCGATGTATCTTTCCATGTTCTAGCTGAAGATTCAGTCTATTTTCTCACAGTTGGTGCCGCTTCTGAGGGATTCTGGCGACAGGTAAGTCATTCTGATTTTCTTCCTTTATGTTCTTTTCTTTTTATTATGAGCAAAAAACTCCAGGAAAAACGGCTGTAAGTTGCGTCGTTTTCTACTTCAGAAGTAATAAGAAGCGAACGTTTTGAGTTGCGACCCTCATCATGACTGAATCTGGCCTGGAAGAACCCTACCATACAGACTGCAGGAACCCTACCATACACACACAGTGTAAAACGGACTACAGATTTTACTAAAAGCTTTCAGGCCAATGCGCGGCCTCCTAAAAACATTTGGCTGCCCGTTTCTTATTTTATGCGAGCAGGGGGCCGGGTCTACTACCACCCCTCACAACTTTCTTTTTTTCTTTTTTCGACCCCCGTTTGTAGAGGTGCGCCGCATGCAGTGCTTGCGCATCGTGCGCGATGCACGGTGCGGCGCATGTGCGCGGTGAACGCATCGCGAAGCGCCGCATGTATGAGTGATTTCATATCTGTATGAAGGTTTTTTCTTTGGTCAATATTTAATGAAAAAGAAAATGGGAAAAGGAAAAAAACAGAAAAAACAGAGGTTTCCTTGATGCAAGTGAATGTTAATAGAGATGCATGCACCAATGCTCGTGACATCAAGGTTTGAGATTCGTACGTGGACGAACCTAGACCGATTATTTCAGATTCGTACGTGGATGGACTTGGACTGTTGTTTCAGATTCATACATCGATGGACTTGGACTGTTTTTTTTTCTGTCTGCCTATCTAGTACCAGCTGTTGGTGTTGTGATGGCCTCTGTTGTTTTGTCTCATCATTGATGATATTGATGTTGATGATGATGATGATGATGATGATGATGATGGTGGTGGTGGTGGTGGTGGTGGTGGTGGTGGTTGCAGAGAGACGTGGCGAAAAGGGGCTCTCTGAGGGGATTTCGTCGATGAGAGCAGGTGAGAAGTGCTTGCTGAGAGTGAAGTCGGACAAAGCATATGGGAGAGAAGGGAACTTCTCCTTTCCCCATGTACCGCCTGACGCAGACTTGCTCTATGAGGTGGAGCTCGTTGGTTTCGACATCCTGGAAGAGGTGTGTCTCTGTGTGTGTGTGTGTGTGTGTGTGTGTGTGTGTGTGTGTGTGTGTGTGTGTGTGTGTGTGTGCGCGCGAACAGTCGTATGCCTGTCTAATTTCAGATCTATGTGTGTTTGCTACCGTCTTCAGCTGAATAGAACGCCCGGTCACAGTGATAATGACCGGGTGTTCTACTCGGGTGAAACGTAGCCTCAGTATGTGGATTGTCTCCTGACCCGCAGTGAAATGATGCATGGTGAAGTGACCTATTAAGGCTAATAAATAAGCTCCGCAACCCAGAGCAGCAAAAAAGAGAGAAAATTTGCTGCAAAATCCTGCTAATGGAGGTATTCCTGCCAATGAAAACATAGTAATAGACATTGTAATAGCCAAAATGGGATTCGTCAACGCTAACGCGGCGAAATCCAAATCCAGACTCCCAGCTCGTAGAGAAGATAGGCATTGTACTGACCAAACGTCCATAATATTTAACAAGTCGCGTTTTATGTCCATCATATAAAGCACCTACACATACAAAAAGGGCTGAAGAAACCAGTCCATTTTTGTTTTATTATCCTGTATGTCGGGGGGCAGTACCATGTACATTGCCTTCAGGTTAGTAGGTAGCTCAGCAGCTTGAAGTGTGGCCTGAAGGAGAGGCAGGAACCTGGAGGTTGGGTGATGTGTAGATTGATCGAGAAGATGGGGAGTGTGTGTGTGTGTGTGTGTGTGTGTGTGTGTGTGTG